GGGACGCTGCCTGTCTTAGGCGGTCAGTGCGAATTCCTCAGTCTTACCAGTCATTGAAACTCATTGCAGCATGGCAATGGCTCTGTCTTAAGTTGCTGAGGTTCCACGTGATCCTTACCCATCTCTGGCCACATGTCCAGCATAAACAGCCGCCATCCGAGGAAGGCAGGGAAGGAGCAACCATCTTAAACCATCTCAAGAAGATAGAAAACCCCAGGATCACTGACCTCAGGATCTCTGTATCATCCTCAAACTGTGGCAAGAAAACTATTATTGTGGACCTTCTCTTGTTATGAAAGAAGTACAGCCAGAATGCTCCTTAGAAGTGAAGACGTCAAGACTTCATCTCATGTATTTTGGGCATGTTATAAGAAGGGACCAGTCCCTGGATAAGGACATGCTTAGTAAAGTAGAAGGTCAGAGAAAAAGAGGAAGACCCTCAGTGAGATAGAATAACATTGTGGTTGCAACAGTGGGCTCAAACATAGACACAGTTGTGAGGACCAGGCAGTGCTTTGTTCTGTTGTAGATAGGACCTCTCTGAGTTGCAATCAACTAAATAGAACCTAGCAACAACAACATGAATGAGGGCACTGCCATGGCTGCTGTAATGCTCCTAGGATTCCTATGAGAACTTGGAAAACCCCCTTACCATCATTCAGGGACAAGAACTGTCCCTCTAACCAGACACTAGGTTCCCAAAATCAATTTTGCATCTGAGCAATAACACTCATACCACTACCAGCAAGCTGATTCTGATTCATAGAGTAGAACTGGGACATAAGGTTTCTCAGGCTGTAAATCTTTATGGAAGCAGACAGCCTCATCTTTCTCTTACGAAGCTACTGGTGGGTTCAAACTGCCAAGCTTTCAGTTAACAGCTCAACTCTTAGCCCATCAAGGCTCCGTATAGTACTAATGTTATTGTTGTTAAGTGCGGTTGAGTGGTTCTGACTCATAGTGACCTTCTTAAGGTTTTCAATACTGTACATTTTTGTGAGAGCAGAAAGCTCATCTTACCCCTGCAGAGCAATTGGTGGCTGAGAACCATCAACCTTGTGATTTGTAGTCCAGTGCTTATTCTACAAAGCCACACTATTATGTAACACTAATGTTGTTGTTGGTAAATGCCATGGAATCAATTCCAACTCATAGTGACCCTGTATAGCATTTCCAAGGAGCAGCCGGCAGGTTTTAACTACCACCTTATGGTCCAGTGCTTATTCTATGTCACCACACCAGGACTCCTTGAATCTGGTTGATAAAATGTGCTTTGTAATAAAAGTGGTTCATAGGATCCCTTTTCAACTTAAAGGCCACCCAAAATGACCACCTAGAATTCAATAGAAATACTTTTACAAGAAATCCAATCAGCACTTGGGGACACCACCGTATGCTAGAACCAATATGTCAAGATTCCAAGTGGGTTTTGTAACAATAATGATAACTAAAAATGAGGGGTGTACAGATGCTGACACTAATTAAAAATAACCAATCACCTCTTGGGATTCGTTTTCTTGGTTTGGGGGCTTAGGGACATAGTTGTGTGAGACAATTCAGTCAATTGGCATAATATGGTTCTTAAAGTTTATGTTTTACCTCCCAGTATGGTGAATAGTGTCTGGAGAATAAAAGTTTATGAGCGGCCATCTAAGATACACCTACTGGTCTTTGTCTGAAATAAAAGAGAAAGAAGAAAACCCCAAAATCTGAGAAGGAACTGAACTCTACTACTAATTGTGTACATGAACCATGGCCTCCTCCATCTTGAGACCAGATCTAGATGGTGCCCATCTACCACTACTCAACCTTCTGATCAGGAATGCAACAGGTGGAGACTGATCAAAGGGAGAAAAATCTGGAACAGAACTTCAAATGTTTAAAAAATCCAGACTTACTGGACCTATTGAGGCTTGAGGAGTCCTTAAGACTATGACCCTGAGTAACTCTTCAATTTTTGAACTGAAACTACCCCCGCAAGTTACATTTTCTGATTGCTGTTGTTAGGTGCCATCGAGTCAGTACTGACTCATAGCGACCCTATGCACAACAGAACCAAACACTGCCTGATCCTGGGCCAACTCACAATTGTTGCCACGCTTGAGCCCATTGATGCTACCACTCTGCCAATCCATCTTCCTGGGGGTCTTCCTCTTTTTCTCTGACCCTCCACCTTACCAAACATGATATCCTTCTCCAGTGACTGCTCCCTCCTGACAATATGACCGAAGTAGGAGAGACGATGTTTGGCCATCTTGGCCTCCAAGGAGCACTCTGGCTGCACTTCTGCCAACATAAATCTATTGGTTCTTTTGGCAGTCCATGGCACTTTCAATACTCTCCTTCAACACCATAACTCAAATGCATCAATTCTTCTATGGTCTTCTTTATTCATTGCCCAGCGTTCACATGCATATGAGGTTATTGAAAATACCATGGCTTGGGTCAGGCACACTTTAGTCCTCAAGCTCACATCTTTGCTCTTCAACACTTTAAAAAGGTCTTGGGCAGCAGATTTGCCTAATGAAATATGTCGTTTGATTTCTTGACTGCTGCTTCCATGAGTGTTGATAGTTGATCCAAGAAGAATGAAGTCCTTGACAACTTCAGTCTTTTCTCCATTGATAAGAATGTTGTTTATTGGTCTAGTGGTGAGGATTTTTGTTTTCTTGACATTGAGATGCAATGTAAAGGCTGTGCTCATCAGTAAATGTTTTAAGTCCTCTTCACTTTCAGCAAGCAAGATTATATCATCTGCATATCACAGTTTGTCAATGAGTCTTCCTCCAATCCTGATGCCATGTTTTTCTTCATAGAACCCAGCTTCTCATATTATTTGCTCAGCATACAGGTTGAATAAGTATGGTGAAAGAATGCAACCATGTCACATACCTTTCTTAATTTTAAGACATTCAGTGTTTCCATGTTCTGTTCGAACAACTGCTTCTTGGTCCAGGTACAGATTCCTCATGAGCACAATTAAGTGTTCTGGAATACTCATACTTTACAATGTTGTCCATAGCTTGTCATGATCCACACAATCGAAAGCCTTTGCATAGTCCAGAAAGCATAGGTAAACATTTTTTTGATGTTCTCTGCTATCAGCCAAGATCCACCGGACATCAGCAATGATATCCCTCATTCTATAGCCTCTTTTGAATCTGGCTTGAACCTCTGAAAGTTCTCTGTGAATGTATGTTTGCAGCTGTTTCTGTATTACTTTTAGTAAAACTTTACTCGCATGGGAAATCAAAGATGTTGTCCGATGATTTCCGCCTTCTGTTGGGTCACCTCTCTTTGGAATGGGCACAAATACAGATCTCTTCCAATCAATCAGTTGGCCAGATAGTTGTCTACCAAATTTTTTGGCACAGATGAGTGAGTGCCTTCAGTGCTGCCTCACTTTCTTGAAAGATTTCCATTTTTATTCCATCAATTCCTGGTGCCTTGTTCTTTGCCAATTCCTTCAATGCACCTTGGACTTCTTCCTTCAGTATCATTGGCTCTTGATCATATACTACCTCTTGAAATGGTAGAACAGCAACCATTTCCTTTTGGTACAATGACTCTGTATATTCATTCCTTCCATCTTCTTTTGATGTTTTCTGTGTCATGCAATAATTTGCCCTGAGAATCCTTTTCTGACTCCAGATCTTTGTACATTTTGTTGTAATATTTGACTTTGTGTTCTTGAACTGACTGTTTGAAATTTTCTGTTCAGCTTTTGTACTCTTCATTTCTTCCATTTGCTTTAGCATCTCTACACTGGAGAGCAAGTTTCAGTGTCTCTTCTGACATCCATTTGGACTTTTTCCTTCTTTCTTGACTTCTTGATGACTTTTTCCTTTCTTCACGTATGATGTTCTTGATGTCATCCCACAACTCTTCTGGTCTTAGGTCTTTAGTGTTTAATGTATCAAATCTGTTCTTCAGATGATCTCTAAATTCAGGTGGGATATATTCAAGGTCATATTTTGGCTCTCTTGCACTGTTTTCACTTTCTTCAGCTTCAGTTTGAATTTGCATATGAGCAATTGATAGTCCATTCCACAACCTGACCCTGGCCTTGTTTTGACTGATGATATAGAGCTTTTCCATAGTATCTTTCTGCAGATGTAGTCAATTTGATTTCTGTGTATTCCATCTGGTGAGGTCCATGTGTATAATTGTCTCTTATGCTGTCTAAAGAAGGTATGTGAAATGAACAAATCATTGGTTTTGCAGAATTCTATCATGTTATCTCCAGCATCATTTCTACCACCAAGTCCATACTTTCCAACAAAGACTAATAGTTTAGCCTCAAGGGTAAAGATTGTCACCCTTGAGTATTTTTGTTTTTGAGGAAAGAGAACATTTAATTTATAAATATGATTTGGATAGCCTCCCTCACCCCATCAGAAGGAAGTCTTACGGTTGCCTTTGGGGAGTAAGAGCACCTTGGATGTTAAGGCCCTCAGATTGGGAGGGAGTAGTGGAGGACCAGTGGTGGAGGGATAGGTCTTAGAGTCCCATGACGCTTGTCCAGGGCTCATCAGTTAGTAGCAGAGCCTGGAGTGATGAGTGGAGTGGTTTTCTCAGGTAATGGGCTGTGGTTTTCACTGGACTTGCATTTAAATATGCTACTCAAAGAAAAAAAATGATCCCTGCAATACACAAGTTGGAGGCCTTCCCAGTTGTAGTAAAAAGGACTATCTTTATCAATGATGTCATTGGCTTCCAAGGCAGGCAGCCTGGCCAGCAGGAGAAGGTCCCGTGTCATTCCTTCCATGTCACAGTTCAGGCAGGGCAGGAGCTAGAAACAGAATCTTTGATGGGTGAAATTTGAAATTATTCACTATAGATGAATAATCTGTCCCTGAGAATCCAGTGCAGAGTGAAGGTCTGAAGAGGCTGATGGGTCTGACACTCTTGAATATTATGTATCTGTCTATCTAAGACCAAGGTAATACTGACTGGTTTAAAATCAGAAAAAGTATGTGCCAAGGCTGTATCCTCTCATCATTCTTATCCAATCTGTATTGTTGTTATTAAGTGCCGTTGAGTCGGTTCCGACCCATAGCGACCCTGCACACGGTTTCCGAGGCTGTAAATCTTTACAGGAGCAGAAAACCTCATCTTTATCCCGTGGAGTAGCTGATAGTTTCAAACTGCTGACCTATCCAATCTGTATAGTGAACAAATAATCTGAAGAAGAATGTAGAATTAGGATTGGAGGAAGACCCATTAACAATTTGTAATATTTAAACGACACAATCAAGCTTGCTGAAATTGAAGAGAACTTGAAGGGCTTCCTGATGAAGATCAAAGAAGACAATCTTCAATGTACTTTACTCCTCAACATAAAACAATAATCCTCACAACGGGACCAATAAGCAACATCATAAGATACAGAGAAAAGATTGAATTTGTCAAAGATTTCATTTTACTTGGAACCACAATTGATGCCCATGGAAACAACAGTTAAGAAAGCAAATGACCTATTGTAATGAGGAAATCTGCTGCTGCTACAAAAAGAAAACCTCTTTGAAGTGTTAAAAAATAAAGATGTCACTTTGAGGACTAAGGTGCACCTTACCCAAGTCATAGTATTTTCAATGGCCTCGTAAGTATGAGGAGAGTCTGGTGTGGCACTGAAGGATAAGCACTGGATGGATAGCTAACCACAGTCCTGGTGTGGTGCTGTGGGTTAATGTACCAGACTGCAAAGCCAGTTGAACTTCAAGGTTGGTGGTTCAAGCTCACCAGCTGCTCCTCGGAAACCCTGTACAGGGTCACTATGGGTCAGAATCAACTTGACGACACTTAAAAAAACAACAAGCTAACCACAAGGTCAGTGGTTGAAACACACCAGCCACTCCTTGGAAGCTCTATACAGGGTTGCTATGAATTAAAATTGACTCAATGGCACTTAACAACAACAACAACAACAACAACATACATATGAGAAAATTGGACAATGAAGAGGAAAGAGTGAAGCAGAATTGGTACCTTTGAATGATGGTGTTGGCAAAGAATATTGAATTTACCACAGACTGCCAGAAGAATAAGCAAATCTGTGTTGGAAGAACTACAGCCAGAATGCTCCTTAGAAGTAATAGTGGCAAGACTTCATTTTGAGTATCTTGGACATATTACCAGGAAGGCCAAACCCTGGACAAAAACATCATGCTAGGTATAGTAGAGGGTTAGCAAAATAAGAGGAAGGTCCTCAATAAGATGGATTGATATCATGGCTACAATAATGGGCTCAAACAAAGCAGTGCTTATAAGGATTGCACAGGCTCAGGCAGTGTTTAGGTATGATTGACTCGGAAGCACTGAATCACAGCAATATATAAGGTCAAAGTGTCAACAGCTATTCACAAAGAGATTGGGGGCAAGGAGATTAAGTAAATGTAAGTAAAACAAGCAGGATGGAAACAATGACAATGTTGACACAATGGAAGAATGTAACCAATGTAGAAACTGAAACAGGAGTAGGTATTTTATGTATATATTCACTTAACCCCTCCACAGTTGAGTATTCAGTATCTGAATCGGAAAGAAATGTCATCCCACACAGAATAAGTTGGTTTAAATAGTCATTGTTGTTGTTAAGTGCCCTCAAGTTGGTTCCAACTCATAGCGACCCTGTCTAGGGTGCCCAAGGTGTGGCTGATAGGATTGATCTTCTGGCCTTGCCATTCAAACCAACCTTACAGTCCTGTGCTTATTCTACAGTGTCATGCCAGCACTCCATTGCCAACCAACAAATCTTGGATCTTCACTTTAAAAAATATATACTACTAACAATCAGAGACCAAGCTATTGCTTGGTTTCCTAAATTGTTCAACCGTCGGTGACTCCACAAACCATTAAAGTATTCTAACCTCATTAAGAAGCCCACTGTGTCCATGCTAACACCATTGAGATACTCCTTCTGCAGGACTGTTCTTCTGTAGATATGTTTTACTCTTCCACCCTCACTCCACCTTCCTCACACCACAGCCTGGAGTTAATACAGGAAGATCTACCCGGTGGCCATTAGGATAGGTGAAGGATTAGGTATGATCATTAGGAATGGAAACATGACTCTAACAAAATGAAAAAAAGCAAAGTGGAAACTTCTAATGAACCAGGAGGAAACTAGAGAGATAGCTGATCAAGCCATTGACTTTGTCTCAGATCCTGCTTTCAAGAAAGCCAGAAAAGGCTAATGTGCCAGTAGTTTACTTAGGAACATGAACCTAGAGGACAGTGGATAACAGGGAGAAAGGAAAGTCTGATACAAGGCTGCATTATTAAATTGGCCATGACACTGGTAAGCCTTATGAAATACCCACTAAAACAACTGTTGTTGAGTCAATTCCAACTCACAGCAACCCTACACAACGCAGGGTGTTGTTGTTGTTGCTCAGTGCTGTTGAGTTGGTTCTGACTTATAGTGACCCGATATAGGATTACCTAGGAGCAGCTGGTGGGTTTGAACTGCCAACCTTATGGTTTACAGTCTAGTGTTGGTCCTACAGCACCACACCAGGAGTCTTAGGAAAGAGTAGAACTGCCCAATATGGGTTTCAAGGCTGTAAATATTTACAGAAGTTGTCTTCCACATCTTTCTTAGGCAGAGCAGCTGGTGAAGTTCAAACTGCTGACCTTCTGATTAAACTACTGCACTGCCAGTGTTCACCAGGAGAAGATAAAGGGATGTATTTATCTGTTGACTCTCAGTCCTTATTGACAAGGGATGTCTCCAGATGTCTCCTTGCTTCTACTCCCAGATTTCTTGGCATCAATGTCCAGCAAACTCCTGAGAACATCCCAGGCCTCCAAATTTGAGAAAAGCCCTAAAGCAGAAAGTGAAAGGGAGCTAGTATGGACCTGTGTTGAGATGCTGTCAGACTGTATAAAGCTGGTCTCTGAAGTCATGGCTGGCATTAAAACATGACTCAGAGAGGATTCAAAATGGTACAGAAGAGTAACCAATACACCAGCCAATGTAAGAAAACAGAATAGGTTAAATATAAAATATGATTCAGATTAGATCTTATTTCAGGTACCACAATAAATGATGATACAATTTCTACACTAGAGGTTTCAGTAGGGTTGCGTTTAATTCATACTATTTTTCTTTTAGAAAAGAAAATCTAACAGTGACAGAGAAGGATTGGAAATAAAGGGATTAGTCAAAACATTCAAAATAAGTACTCACAAAAGATATTTTAAAAATCAACATAAGACCAAAAACATTAGATTGTGGCAAAGAATGATGCATAATGATTTTTTAAAATGTATCTTAGTGGATTATAAATCAACTCTATGTTTAGGGCAAAGTGATAATCAAGGTGAAGTGAAATAACTTTCCTTAACACTTCCTTGGAAGATTAAGGAGAAATATAACACATAAGAGATGTGAATAATGAATGATTTACTGGCTCAATATACTAGAAACATAACAATTCACATTTTACAAAGAGAAGATATGTTCTTATCTCTACATTGTGAGATAAGATTATTGTGGTCCTTGAATGTGAACCTTTGAACATCACTTTGCCAAAATAGTGGTCAATGGAACGAGATTGGATAGCAATCTGTTTAATTCTCTTTTGCAAGTTTTTGCTCTTTGCCTCTGTCAATACAGAAATGGAGCCATTTCATTCTGAATGTCATAGCCAACAGTGGTTTGCCTCCTTGAGGTCACCCTTACTTTGGATGCGATTATTTTGGCCTGCTACAATTCCAACTGGCCCCAGCATCTCCCTAACTGTGGTGACGCTTCCCTTACTCTTAGCTTGACTTGAGAAACTATGCTAATGAGGTTTGGATGCCTTTTGTTTGAGTTCATTTTGAGATCATCTGACTACCTAGTAATAAAATTACTAGGAAGGACTTTCTCCCTGGCCTGAGAAGATTGGAGTCATTAACTCACATGCCCCAGTTTTTAAAGCAGTTTCCTAGCTACAGTGAGCCAAATCACCACAGGAGAAACAGGTTCCAAAACCCAGGTATTCCTCACTACACAATGCTGAAAAAGTATTAAATAAGCAAACACTGGAGTGCAGAAGGTGATGAGAATTTCTACTGGAGAAAGAACCTTGAGATAGTCCCCTAGAACAACTCCTAACAGTCTTGGAAGAAGACTTGTGCTTTGTTGAATTCATCTCTCCTCCTGAGAACAACCCATCCCAGTGGCAGCTGGAATTCATTAAGGAGGAAGCCACACAATTACTGCAGAGATATAGACATCTGCTGAAACTATCCCTGGTTACCACTTGGACATAAGACTTTCTAGAGGAACAGATCGCACAATAGGGCTATAATATACTTTGGGGTTTTGTTTAACCCATTAAAAAATCCTTATATTCCATCTCATTGGATCAGACAGGGAGCTCCCTTGGGGCGCTGGCTGTCCCTGTGCTGGATGGAAAGACAAGACTCCCTGTGGGATCCACAATCAATGCCCATGGAAACAGCAGCCAAGAAATCAAATGACATATTATACTGGGCAAAGCTGAAAAAAAAAATCTTTAAAGTGTTAAAAAGCAAAAATGTCACTTTGAGGATAAATAAAGGTGGGTTTGACCTAAGCCATGGCATTTTTCAATCACCTCATAACATGGATGAATCTGGAGGACATTGTTGTTAAGTGTTGTCGAGTCGGTTCCAACTCATAGTGACCCTATATAGGGTATCTGAGGCATGACTGGTGGGTTTAATTGACCTTGATATTAGCAGTTGAGTGCTTATCCTACAATACCACATCAGGACTGAGTGAAATTTGTCAATCAC